AAATAGTTGCATGTTTAATCATCTGGGAAATTTACCCAGATTTATTTATTTAGACAGAGATCTTGCCCCCCCCAATGCTCAGCACAAAGTTACGCTGATGTTTTAAACAGATCAAATATTACAAAAATCGTACTATGTCATATATCATGTGATAAGACTAAGAGAAAGCAACAGTTCCATACGAATTCCTCGCGAGCCCTGATCTCACTGTGTGCTACGTTCATCCCGAGAGCAAAACTCTGAATGCATCACAGAAGGTGTGAAGTGAAAAACTTGTGTTGTGCCCTTTGAACAGGGAGACAAGGAAATAACATGATTGCATTTCATAAAGTCAGCATGTGCATGGAGTAGTGTCAGGTGGAGTAATATGTAGTAGTGAACAAGTGATCCTGGTGCCAAATTTATCCTTTAATAATAGAGTTTCCTTTTTATCCTCTCTGGCTCTCTCCCGATATCTATCTATATATTTGTTTGTGAGGCTCCAGCTGTCTGTGGATTTTTCGTATGCTGTGGACAGAAGTCGGAATAAAACTCGAGTGCATTCACTAGTTTTACGGGTCTCCCATTATAAAAACCACCCTGGTTTTTGCGAGCTGCTGACAGAGCTGGCCGCGTGCACGTGATGAGCCCTCTTGCAGACATACGCACCAACGAGCGTCTTGCCTTTCTCACAGCCACGTAAGCCCAGACAGACTGCAAAGACGTACACCTGCATGCACAGACATAAATGTGACATTTATCTCTTCCTCGCTCTCTCCCCGGTGGGAGTGGGTAGATAATAAGTGGTTTTTGGGAGGGAGTGTATGTTGCTAAGTATTTTACCTGTACCTGGTAATTAACACCTACACACTGTCTGTATGTTTCAATTATCTGTGGGATCACCACACACAAACACTCATTGTAGCCTCACAGCTACACTGTTTACACAGAACACCTGTAATGAAAATACAGCATTGTTTCCATAGCAGTGTTTTCAACACACAGAAGAAATGGAAGAGTGGGTGTCCCACAGTTGTGTGTGGAGATGCCAGTGCACTTCCAGCATATAACATGACATTTGGCTTTTTCCCATTGTGCTCTCTGTATAATGGATGATTATTTGGGATTATGTGCTTTACAAATGTATTCTTCTGCTATTGTAACATAACAAAGTCCCGGTGGTACCATATTAAATGGTAAATGGCCTGTATTTGTATAGCGCTTTACTAGTCCCAAAGGACCCCAAAGCGCTTTACACAACCTGTCATCCACCCGTTCACACATAGGTGATGCTACATTGTAGCCACAGCCACCCTGGGGCGCACTGACAGAGGCAAGGCTGCCGGACACTGGCGCCACTGGGCTCTCTGACCACCACCAGTAGGCAACGGGTGAAGTGTCTTGCCCAAGGACACAACGACCGAGGCAGGCCAAGCCAGGGCTCGAACCGGCAACCTTCCGATTACAAGGCGAACTCCCAACTCTTGAGCCACGATCGCCGTCATCATTTTGCCTCCAGGCCTGCCTTTCAGCAAAGAGGCTAACACAAGCTTTCTTAAGTGTGAAAGATACTTTTAATTCTGTCGTCCGCTGACATGTTGGCCTGCCATCTAAATTATTATATCAGTCTAAAAATAGACAAAAACATGCAGGAACGACCGCAAGAGCCTGTGCTGGGTATCAGACCGCCGGCAGAGAGAATTGGCGAGAGTGTTTGTTCTGCTTCTTAAAGCAAACTCTCAAGGCAGAAGAATGATATCAGGAGGTGCTATTAACAGGAACGAGGCTGAATGAAAACTATGGGTTGGCCTTTTCCTCGCCCTCGCTTTCTCCTTCCCTCCCTATTTAATTGTAAAACCTCAACTTATGAATCACATCTGCTGGCATCCAGGGACAAAAAGCATGAAAAGATGCAGAGCACACATGTAGTAGGTGTTCTACATAGGACAAACTGGCAGCAGGCAGAGATGAGAAAAGCAAAGAGTGGAAATAAAGCCCTCTCATAAAGTCACTTTCCCTGTAGCGACACTGAAGTGTCCACAAATGCTGGCAGTGATTCCACGTGGCAGAGCCAAGTCCCCCTTTCCCATTAAGAGTTAGAATAAACTATTTATCTGTATTATATACACTAATCTGTCAAAGCTGCTCAGGACGATCACAGTTGTATTCATCAAATGCAAGAAATATGTATATACATATTAATGTTTTAAATATTTAAACTTCATGAAGCGAGCTTGATTTATTTTCCCCCACATTTAAACATTTTTTTCTTCTTCTTTTCTGTAATATAATATGTGCAGATTCCCTGAAGGAGCGCTGCTTTGAGGACTCTGTGTGGTTTAAGCAGCAAAGCTCTTAACGTCTCTAAAATCTACAGAGAGGCTGTATCGTTAGGAAATCTAGAAAGACTGCCTTCTGGTTTACCAAAATCAACTTAAGCAGCATCAAAATCAACCGTAAAAAGCCGTCCAACTACATGACTTCCAACTTTTTGAGGACCGCACAGTTCCTCCGAGCGCAGTCCAATAACAGAATCTAAACTTGCCAATCTGACATCAGAGTCAGGATTCCTCTGGGAAACTATGCTGTTGTCTCCCACATGCTGATTCAAGAAGCACGTTGTCGCATGGCTGAGATGTGGTGGGTAGAGGAGCCAAAGAAAAACCTTCTTCGGCTGATGATTGCAGAGTTTCGCGAGTGACAAGATAAGCCGCGTGAACTCTCTGTTGTTATAACGCTGCTTAGAAACCATTCTTCTTCTTCTTCTCTAACATTGTTCAAACAGGGCGGTGGGCAGTCCACTGGTCATGGACCCCAACAGCATTTGCAGGAAGGCAAAGCGCCTGGCAGGGAAACAGGCTGAGCTGTGCCAGACTCAGCCCGAGATCATCAACGAGGTGGCCAAAGGAGCCAGGCTGGGCGTCCGGGAGTGCCAGTACCAGTTCAGGTACCGCAGGTGGAACTGCACCAGCCACCACAAATACTTTGGGAAAATACTTCAACAAGGTGAGTGACGATGCTCAGCAAACTTCGTCTGCCTCCTCTTAGTAAAATGCATACAGTCTTGAAGGAATAGTTGGAAGTAGTGCTGCAAGTTAAATAAGAAGATTTAAATCATTCTCATGTCTACCTGGTGCTACAAGCCAAAATTCAATTTGAAGCTGTCATGTCTTCGGCGGGGTTAGGATTATAGCCGCTGTCCTTGCATCAACTTGAGGTCAGAAGCCTGCCTGATGGCACTCGAACAAACAAGGGCAGCTGTTGTATGTCTGAGGAGACGTATTCACACTTGACTGACTCTCCTCTTCATCAGATTGGGCATGCCTGAAATGATCAGCTAAGAATGCCCTTTCTCTTAACATCTTTCCTAAGATCTCCTAGCATCTTCCTCCAACTCTTTGAAGTCTGTAATATAACTGACGCAGGGTCACTGCTGGGTCTTCTGCAATTACTGTGTTGGTTTTTTCTCTTGTCTGATTAGATTCATAGAGAGTTTCTTGTCTCTCCGTTGACTTGCATTACAGAGGACCTTTATCTTTGTGTTTAGTTAACAAATAAGGCACATGTATTATTAATTTACAGCAAAGGAAACACAACGCGCCAAACATTTCATTAAACTCATTTCTGCCTCAGTGGGGGAAGATGTGCAAAAGGAAGTTTGGCTCTGATGTGTCATAATTCTAGATAGTAACATACTAGAACTGCATGATTGCCATTAAAATCCAATAAGATTCCCTTTTGGAGCACTTTTGATTTCATATGGCCTGACTGTAAGAAGTGCGTCCCATCTAAATGAAGGTAAACACAATAAATTTTTGCATCCGGAGGAATTTTTGTTCCTTTCAGCTGAGACAAAATCAAAATAACTAACATATTACACGGCTGAGAGATTTCAAATACCCATTAGATGTGTCAAATATGTTTACTCACCCCTCCAATCAACACAGAAGACCTGCGAAACTGAAGTTTGCACTTTAGTTTGTGCTTTAGGAGAAGTTTATGTTTCTTTTAACTTTAATAACTTATAATTATAGATGCAATAATGCTCTCAATGCCTTCTCTTGTTAAGCTCTACAGCTCAATAACAGTGTGACATCAGAAAAACCATTTTTCTGTAAGTAATGAAGGTGGACCAAAGACTGTTTTTTTCTCCTATATGAATTTATGACACCAGTCTTGTTCGTGTCCTGGACAGAGAAAGAAAGGAGAAAAAGAGAGAAGGAGAGAGGAAGAGAAGAGGGAAAAGGGCAAGAATCTACCGGTAGGAGACAGACTAGCAATTAATCATGAATTCCTGGCTGTCTATAAGGGAGGCCAAAGTGCTCCCCTGCTTTAAAGCCTTTGTCCACAATTACCTGAATCTGCTCTTAATGGCTGTTTATCATAGACTAGTAGCACTACATGTCAAAATAAAAGTGCCTTCATATTTAATGTACTCTGGCTGTAAGTGGTTTGCTTAACCTCATTGACCTCTATAGTTCTGTAACAACACACTGTTGCAGAGACACTTCCATGACAGTTTTTATTTGCAGAAAAATGAAGGCTGCGTTTTGCATGATTTCTGTCAGGTCACGTGCAGCAGCAGCACAGCTACGCCGCGCGTAGGTTTGAAAAGGGAAGCTGCCTCGACTCCTTTGATTGCACGTCTCATTTTGTGTCACCCTCTGCTGCTGTTTTTGTGGCAGCCAACTCATCGATTCACTGCATGCATCGTGTTTAATCTTCCTCAGTCTTTATTTCCTTTATTCGCTTATTTTTGCTATTTTTGTTGTACCTACGGTTACTCCAGCAGCCGACTCACTGGGCACTGTTCAGTACTGTGAGTTTTCTCCCAATCCTAATGATTCTTACCAATCACGTTTCATCCATCTGTGTCCTTTTTCACGTGTACAGTGTAAAGGTGTTTTACTGACTGTTCTGCACTGAGTTAAACAGGCTTCGAATCCTGTTTAGCAAACAGTCTAAACAGCAGTTTAAAGACCTGAGTGATGGCATTTGTGTTTTTCTTGCTGTGTTTGTGAAAAGGATTTATCTTGAGCTGCATCGCTGCTGTTCGTCAACATGACTCTCTGAGGAAACAAGGAACGACTGTAGCTGCAGTCGGTGGAATAAGAGCTTTGAATTATTTTGTATTAATAACTGTGCAGCACACGCGCGCACGTGTGTGTGTGTGTGTGTGTGTGTGTGCATATAATGATGAAAACTATTACTCGGTACGTCTCGGTGTATGGAAAGAAAACGCATATACTAAGGATCCATGGTGCAAATGTTTAGTTTTTGATTTGCGTCAAGACAGCAGATGGAAGAGAAACACTGAAGGTGAAAACTTAGTGTGTTTGTGTGTTTATATAACAGGGGTTTTAGCTGATTTCACAACATTACTGAAACACTGCCATTTCAAAATTTTAGTGCGAGACGTCTGAATGAGTGAACACGTTGACACAAGGGCCAACCTGTCCTCACTCCCGTCTCCTCACAGACTGAAGCTCAGTCAAGAACTGTATATTTTAACAAATTGGCCACCTTTTTTGTATCACGTGCAGGGCGCTCTGATTAATTTCATTACAAGTCAGTCAACATGGGAAATCGGCATCATACGATCACAGGCAGATGTGCTCTGCGGGGTCCCAGGTCCCTGTGAAGGAAAAGCTTTTTGCAGATGGGAAAGGGTTGCCTTGCAACATGCTGTTAATGCTGTGAAACGCTGAATTTTAACTCAGAACACCTGTTGCAAAACCTAACCAGAAGGCTTTTAGTGTCTAAATTTAGACAGGACTAGAAGACGGGCCTGTTTTCTGGTTTGGAAGACAAGTGAACACAACATTTACTACCTCACCTCCCTGCGTACGTTGGTCGTTAGTGAATGTGTCCACAGGTAAATGTTTGTTTGCTGCTTGGGTACAAAAACCATCCTTTAACACAACAAGAGGCACGTTGTCAGCAGTTCTTGACGTGGGCTTTGAGAAACTTGTGGGTGCATGAGATAAACCCTGCCAAAAACAAACAAACTGGGAAAGTACCACAGACTGGTTCACAAGTTGTGTCTAGATCTTTGCCCATTTTAAGGCTTGTAGATTAAACTGGATTTAGTTTGAGTTATTTTTATACAAATTGTGAGGTATCGGCTCCTGTAATTGTGGGGAATCGCTCTGCATTTCCCCACAGTATGGACATGATACTGTGGAACTGTTTTCACCTGAGTCAGCCGATAACGCTCAGCTTCACAGGGTTTGTACAGAATACAGACAAAGGAAGCACAACAAACACTGTCTGTGGGGAAAAAAGGGATTCTGGAGCAGCACAGAGCAATGGTAGGAATTGGCTCTAAAATGTGTTAAAATGAGAGTCGTTGCCAAATTTGAGCACGTGATAGTTGACAGTGTGGACGTGTCCCAGTGGCTCATTTTGCATGTGCATCAGATTGTTTTCTTCTTGGGCCATAAACATTTTACATACACTTATCTCCCAAAAAAAGACTTCTGCTTTCTTGACATCAGTCTTTATTATCCTCTCTGTGTTCGAAAACATACAGACAATGGAGCCAGCATGGCTCCCAGTGCAAGCCAGCCCCCATACACTGATGCTGGTAATCACATAAGAGATATTCCAAATTGTGTGTGCAGAGTTGTGTGTGAAATTCTGTCCTGTGGAACGAACCAAGGCCTCTTGCTTTGGGGCTGCACGTTAATTAAGCCGATCGTCAATCATGTCAAAAATGTTCAGACCTTCTCATTAATGATGCTCTCAGGCTGACACACAGATATGATTCAGATTCTGTGCTGATTGATTGATACACGGGTTTCAGGATGTTTTATTTTCCTGTCAGTGTTTTTAACATTAATGAGCCTTTAAACTGACACTGTGTGCATGGACGGGGATATTAAGACACGCTGTGGAAGAGAGCCAAAGATTAATAATAACTAATGATTAAATGCAGAGAGGTGAGTGAAGAGGAAACACCCAGTGCCTCATGGGAGTCCCCCATCAGCCTACACCTATTGCAGTGTAGCTAAGGGAGGATTCAGGGTCACCTGATCCAGCTCTAACTATATGCTTTAGCAAAAAGGAAAGTTTAAAGCCTTAAAATTAGAGATAGTGTCTGTCTCCTGAATCCAGGATGGGATCTGGTTCCACAGAAGAGGGGCCTGAAACGAGCATGTAGCCTTCCAACCTCCTGTGAGAGTGAGAGCTGCTGAAGTCCAGCCCCAACATGCAACCCATCTCTTCTGATATGTGTTTGGATTTATAGATACTGTTAATTTCCACACGCCATATGTGATTATATCAGGAGTTCCCCACCTCTCCTCGAACTGTCCCATCTGGGTGTTCCTTGTTTTTAAAAAGCATGAATCACTTCATGGGTAAATTCTGACAGAGATTTTCTTTTATGAGCAATATGCATTTTGAAACTCACTCGATATGACCACAATTCACCTAAACAAACGTTTTCCTATAGCGTGGATCCTCTGTGCCGTAATCCTTTTTAAGCTTTGCTTGACGTCCTTGATCACGTTTAGATGATGACCTCTAAAAGATGAAAAAGTGATTAAAATAATATGTTGTAGATCCTGCAGAAGGACTTTATTGAAATCGAAGCAGACGTAGACAGGCCCAGACACCCAGCGTGGCAGGGAATTTGTTTGGAATTCATGTCTGCGAGGAAAATGTGAAACAGGGTGCCTCAAATCATCACATTTTTGATAGCTTCTTTTCTCCTCTCCCTTCGTTTTCTCCCTCTTCTTTAAGCTTCTGCTTTCCCCCCTCATGTATGCTGTCGGCCCATTTTTACAGAGAGGGTATTTTTGCCTTGTGCTAGTTGATGCCCTCAAAACTGAAATGTGTGAAAAACATGTCAAACAACACTTTTTATGTTCAGTTTTTGCCGTGGAGATTCTTCTGCTCAGCGTCGTGCTTTGCAAGCACAGTTGATGACATCTGGATGGCCTCTCGGGTTGTTTGGACACAGCACGTGTTGCTATCACCATATTGTACTAATGATTTAAGTGCTGCTGTTTCACACATGTGTTTCTAAATAGTTGGAGGGATGCTTTGGAGATGACACATTTTAATTTGAGTACGTTTGCAGTTATAACCTTCTGCCGAATGGTAGGAACAAAAAGGTGTGGTCTGCTTAAGTTGTAACAGTGTGTTGTAACACACACACACACACACATAAACGCTGGGTGGCGTGCGACAAAACCTGCACACCCCAGCGAGCCTTGATATCAATACCAGCTGTAAGACACCCAGAGATGTCTCCAGTGCAGACACACTCGTTAAAGTTTGTGTGTGAAAAATATTGTTTTATGCAGTTTGAAGCATTTAACATTTCACAATAGTCGGCTCGTCTTCTGTGTCGTGAAGAGCTGCTGTGTAAAATGTTGGAACCAGCTCAGTAAATCTGAGGATTAGATATGTGAGACGGGACATGCAGCATTTGTACCAGAGTGTGTGTGTGTGTGTGTGTTACCATTCCTAATGAATCCCATTCAGTGAATCATGCGATATAGAGTTGGCAGTGTTGATAGTGGTGACTGCACAGCCGTTGCCTTCCAGCTCCTAGAAATAAAAATGCTTTTGCTTCATGTAAACTCAGCACACAGTGGTTAAAATAGGATTTTTCCCTCAAACCTGTGAAACTGTTGTGTTTTATTCTCTTTGGAGGTTATTTTTAGATGATTTTTCATTTAGTTTATCCTCAGCAGGCCTTACACTATTTAAAACAGTGGTCCCCAACCCCC